TGGGTTACATGGTTCTCAGAGGCTTCCCGCGCAGCGTCTTCTTCCTCCAGACAGACGGACTGTGGAAACAACATTAGGGCACACGGTCAGTCAGCTCTCCCGTCGCTACGAATTTCTATTGATTATTTCTCAATCATCAATTGCATTGACAATAAACTCTGAACGGGGAAGGTTTCTTGCAACTTGCAAAGCGCTTGAACTTGATCAAGTTAACGTTAATTAATCGCGAAATTCTCTATCGATTCGACTCTACTGTTCCCTAATTACGTCGCTGGACTCTCGGGGAACCCGAGGAAACACAAACATTCCCGTATATACGTATTCAGCGTTGACAACAGCACGAGTGTCGCGTTCACAACACACAAGTAGATGTATCGTAGTACAAGAGTAACGTTAACAGAAGCTGGGACTCTGGGAGTCCAGTTTGTCAAGGAGAGACAGACAATTACCTGGAGACTGGTGTAGCTGGAATAATTGCGCTTGCCGCCGAATCGGAAGCCACGATCGTGATCGTGGACGTGCCTGTGCCTGAGGAGCAGGGCCCTCATCACCACCGGCCTGTCCTCCGGCAGGATCAACTCCTCCACCACCATTTGCTCGACCACCCTGTACGCCAGACCGGGGAGATCCTTCTCCTCGAGGTCGAGGAGGACCACGCCGGTCTCTAGGCATCGGCGTAAATTCAGCAACGAGTGGAAGCTCAACGAGGCCACGTGGGGCCTGCCCCATCTGTCCGCCCCTTCCTCCACGTCCTCCTCGTATTTGATCCAGCGCGCCGTCTCTCTCCATTCGCGCTCCTCGCCGAGACCGTACAACTCGTCCAGCTGGACGAACACCTCGTGCGGCGAGTGATCGTACATCTTCTTGAAGGTGTCGTGCGGTATGCCGCCCTCCTTTCTACGACCGATCTGCACCGTCGAATGGGCCGCCTTGTGCCGCCTCATTCCACGCGGGTCGTCGCTCCTGTGCGACTCCAGGTCGTCGATGTCCAGCTCCTGCAGGGTGCTCGCCTCCTCCGGCTGCACGCTCACCCTCCTGGCCAGCACGGCCGGCCCGTCCGGCAGGCCAGCTCCTGAACGCTTCCTCCATTGCGGGTCCTCTTGCAACGAGTACTTCCGCGACTTGTGATGGTGTCTTCTGCAATTTTTATTACGCTTCGTTAACCCTTCAATGAAGCCTAACGAAGAGTCCGCTGCGCCATTGAATGAA